CCCCCCCCCCCCCCCCCTAAAAGTCCTAAAGTCCTAAAACCCTGAACTCGAATAACCTAAGCTGTACTTTACCCCCCCGCCAAACTCAGTTCCAAGCTTCGGGGCTTAAGGACTGCAATTTTGGAACCGGACTCAACAAAGCTTAGACTACACTGTACGATGCTATGCTGTATATAGTATAGTATACTATACAATAGTAGACTATACTATCGTGAACTATACTACAGTATAGTATACAAAAATAGTGTTTAGGCTTCGAGATGAGGGCTGCATGGTTTTGAAGCTTCTAAGGCTTGGGTCTCAAGGGCTTTAGGGCTTTTAGGGCGTTTAGGGCTTTTAGGGCTTAGGATTTCGGGCTTTTAGGACTTTTAGTTTAGGGCTTAGGGTCGAGCTTAGGGTCGCGAAGTTCGAAACTCCAAGGTTTCAAAAGGCAGAGCTCCAGACTAGGTCCGAAAGCCGAGACATCCGTAAGTTTGCCACAAACTTCTGCCCACAGCCTTAAAAGTCAAAACTTCTGCCCAGAGCCTTAAAAAGCATATGCTCTGCCCCCCCTATGTTGCAGGACAGGGAGGATGGTTTACACATGTTTTCGTGGACGAAGCAGCACAAAGTGTTGAGGCAGAGGCGCTGGTCCCCATCACGCGTCTCAGCTGCAAAGCAGGGGCTTGCCTGCGCGGGCTTGGGTTGTTTATGGCTTCCGGGAGGCTAGACCATAAATCCGAAATCCTAGCTGCCAGGACTCCCCCAAGTGCCTTTTGATAGAGCCCTAATGGTCCCTATTTTTGAGCTAGAGGATAGTTGGGTTGGTCTAACAAATCCCTGAATCCCTGAAGCCCGAGACTCTCCCATCCTTGTAGTTTGCTGGTCTCTGCCTGGGTGTCTCTTCGATTTCGATGTTGAAGCCCTAACACTAAACCCTAAAGCCCCCAAAATCCTAAAGCCCCCAAAACCTTAAAACCCCTGTAGAACCCTAAACCCGAATGGCTCTGCGTTTGTAGAGCTTAAGCCCAGAGGCCCCAACCCACCTCAACCGTTGAATCCGCAAGAGAGTCGGACCCTAAACTTTAGAAGCTGGGTGACATGAGTAACACTTAGTTCATATATATATATATATGTGTGTGTGTGTATGGATATGGCTAGTATTAACAGTAAAAGAGTTAGAAGCAAGGATCGGGGAAATTGAGCCGTCGAGCCTATAGGGATTTGGGCCGTGGGAGTGGTGGTTTGAGCTGTAGGGTTTTCGGCTGCCTGCACTTTGGATTTCGTAGATGTCAGGTTGCGCACCGATCGTGCCACGATATGCCTCGCGGGCGACTTCAAGCAGCTGGGTCCAGTGATCCGCTCTCCGGTTGCCATTGACTACGGCCTGCAGACCTCTCTGATGGTGGCTTTGCAAGCATTGAGCTATTGGGTTCGATCGTTTCGTCGTGGACTGGAAGAGACATACTGTCATACATTTCTCCGAACTTGAGTCAGCTTGGTCAGCTCAGTGCGAACATCTAAATAGCATCTTTATGGTGCTGTGACGATGTCTGACGATTGCCTGTGCAAGGGTCCAGAGTTTAGGTTTAGGGATTAAGTTGGCGAGGAGCGCTTGGTTAACAAGATCACCGTGAATCACACGCGAGTCTTCACGCTCCTGGACACCTACCGGTCTCACCCATCCATCCTCCAGCTGTACAACAAGCTGGTTTATGCGGGTGTGTTGAAATGCTGCTTGCAGATTGGGAGACCGGTATGTTTTTCATCGAACCCTAAACCCTAAACCCAGGGGCAGCTTTGTTGCGCAGTGTCTGACAGCAAAGGACAGCTATTCCATGACAACTTGGCCCGAGTGCCCAGGTTCAGGCATGAACCGTCATCCGGTCATCTTCCACCACTGCAGCGGCACGGAAAGTCGTCAGAGGGATTCGCCTTCATGGCAGAATGTGGAGGAAGGGGACATCATCAAAATGTACTTGATGAAGCTGATGGAGTATGGTGTCGACCCCGGCGACATTGGCATCATCTCTCCGTACCACAAGCAGTGTGTCCGTTTGCGCTACATCTGCCGAGGCCTAGCACTTCGTGCTCGGGCTTATGCCTAGAATCCGTGAGTCCTAAAACCTCGAACCCTAACCCTAAACCCTAAACCCCTAAACTCTAAACCTTAAACCCTAAACCCCTAAACCCTTAAACAAGTCCAGGGTTCTGCTTACGTATCAGTGAGAAAAAGGGGGAAAGCAGGGGCACCTCGGCAGGGCAAGCAATGACGATTGGCTTTAGGGTTAGGGCCCTGTGCGGGTCTTAAAATAGAAGCTTCTTTGTTCCTAGAAAGGCTTTGATCAGGGCTTGTCTGGACATTTAGTACGGGAATCAGAAATAATGGAAACAGCAGCATCGGCACAGACAGTTTCGTAGTCAACAGAACCTTTACAGAGAGACCCCAACATGTGTCTAGTAGGATTTTTTAGCAGGTGTTGCTTTTAAAAGGACTCCTGAAAGTAACAGTAACTGAGCCCCCGGCATCGAAGGGCGAAGGCACACTAGGATCATTCAGCGGTGCGTTTGGCTCGTGATTTTGGTTCTTGGTTTCCTAGCATTTGTCTGCAATGATAGGGTTTAGGGGTTTAGGGTTTAGGGTTTAGTCTCCGAAGATGTATGATGTATGCTCCTTTCCAAGAGTCAGAGAAGAACCAGTGCTGCCACCCTAAAACCAATAAACCCTTATAAACCCTTATAAACCCTAATAAACCCCAATAAACCCCAATAAACCCTAGTAAACCCTAATACACTCTAATAAACCCTAATAAACTCTAATAAACCCCAGAGTGCGGCCACGGGCTCTCCGGGCAGTAAAGCCAGACAGCTCCCAAGATGCCCCGACATGTCCCCTAGACCCTAAACCCTGAACCTCAAGGGAGTAAAGGAGAGACCCTTAAAGGGACCCTTGGGGTTATATAGGGGCTTCATGAGACTAGGGGTATATAAGGGTTCCTCCTATTGTCCCTTAAAGACCCTAATCCCTGAACCCGAAACATCGCCTACTCCCCGGTGCAGGCGAAGGATTGGATATCGAAGTCGGAACGACAGAGCTGCTTTTCCCAGAATAGATCTTAGGGATTAGGGCCATTTTGGGTTTAGGGTTTTCAGGGCTCTTATTGTAAGGACCCTGTTTAGGGTTTAGGGGTTTAGGGGTTTAGGGGTTTAGGGGTTAGGGTTTAGGGATCTGGAATGCGAGCATTTTAGGGGATGTCGATTAAATGGCGTGGTTTTGTTGCAAGTTCTGGCAGTCTAGCCACAGTTTACGGGTTAGGGTTTAGGGTTTAGGGCCGAGCACCAGCAGCCTCTGTAAGTTTTGAGGTGTCGGGGTTGGGCTTTAGCCCATTCACCATCGCCGCCACAAATCCTTTCTGGCAGCAATCCCTTTCAGCGGAAACACTCAGCCCGAAGCCGCTTTCACCAGAAAGTGCCCGACCCTTGTATTAGAGTTCCGAGTGTAATGTCCGAAACCCTAACCCCCTAAACCCGGTTTCGTGTCTAGGCTCGCACCGAAGCAGACCAACAACTTCGAATTCACCACGTTACCATGCCTTAAACCCTACTAGCCAAGCGCTGATTCACCAATGACATCCTAAACATTATTACCTAAACCCCAGTACCTCAACTGCATCTGGCACCTTGGTTCTAAACCCCTTTCTTCCTTACCTGGAAGTGCCGAAGTCCTCAAAGTTTAGAGGGTTTAGGCTTCGGGGGTTCAGGGTTTAGGGTTTAGGAGGGCAGAAGCCTTTAACCATGTACGCACTCTTCTACGCCAAGTCACCCTGAACCCTAAACCAATCAAACAACCTAAACCGGCACCGTCCTTTGAGGCTGTTTCAGGGTCAGGAGAAGAAGGTGATTCTGATCTCGACGGTCCGATCCCGTCAGGAGAAGGCCTGGCGGAGCCAACTTGTACCCTCCCTATCATGTTTTAGGGCTTTAGGGTTCAGGGGCTTCAGGGGTTTACGGCTTCAGGGTTCAGAGGCTTGGGGGTTTAAGGCTGTAGGGCTTTTTAGGGCTCAAGGGCTTGGAGGTTTAGGGCTGTAGGGCTTTAGGGTTAAGGGTTTTTTGGGGTTTAGGGCTGTAGGGCTTTAGGGTTCAGGGGCTTCGGAGGTTTAGGGCTTTAGGGGTGTTGGGATTTTAGAATTTTGGGCCCAATGTTGTTCCCCGCGTTGCATGTCCAAAAGATAGAATGCCTCGAGGCCTGCAGATCAGGCCGGTAATTTTTCAATATTCAGGGTCTCCTACGTTTATATAGCGCGAGGGCATGGGTTTACGAAAAGAAGCAGAGGTGGTCGCAGAATGCGGCAATGGCAATCGGAATACCACATCCTAGTAGCTATACGCAGAAGGGCACCATCAACCGACAGCCCTTAGGCTCTGAATCGTAAGACCTAAGCATGGTAGAACAGCTGTACCACACCGCACTCAAATCGTGAGTCTCAAGCTTGCAAGCTCCACGACCTCGACTGTTCATCTTCCGAAGGTTCGGGCTGCAAACAAATCCTCTTGAAATAGACGGTGCAGAGCTTTGGATTGTAGCATTTGGGGTCGAGCGCTTGCGGCTTAGAGTTTAGAGGTTCGGGCCGTGTACTGTAGGTTATTGCATGGAGGGACAGGGTCTGGCAGGAGATCAACAACGACATTCGCTTCTCATTGGGCTTCCTTGGCAACTACAAGCGCACCAATGTGGCCATCAGCCGTGCGAAATCGTTGCTGATAGTGGTCGGCACCTTGGCACAGGCATAGTTGGCTGGCAGTCGGGTGCATCCAAGCCCCGAAGCAGGAGATCTCATACCCGATAAGACGATACGACACGATACAAGACCATAGACTAGACTAGACTATACAAAACTGTACGAAACTATATTATACAAAACCACCCCAAACTTATACAGGACTAGACTATACAAAACTCTACAAAACTATGCTATATTACATGCGATATTACGCTTTACTTTTCTGTTCCATTTTTAGATGCTGAGCCTCAATCCTGCGCCCTCAAACGCAAATGGCCTATTGAGGGACTGGATCTGTGGGTTTGGGCGCACTCTACGACTCTAGGATAGATGATTGCCGTAGCCAAAGAGCCCAATATCCCTTAATTAAGGGGTATTGGACTCTCTGCGTAGCTGCTCCAAGTCATGCAAGGTAACATGACCTTGCTGTCTCATGATGCATCGTGGCTGGGCGCGATCAAGTTGGCAAAGGCCTGTGACGCACTTCGGATCCCCTCTCACTCTTCCTCACCCCAGCACCCCCCTAGCCCCAAGTCTCGGCCCTGACATGCTGGGGTTACTCTGGGCTTAGACCCTAAACCCTAAACCCTAAATCCTAAACCCCTAAACCCTAAGCCCCTAAACCCTAAGCTGAGAATCGGAGGAAGGTTGGGTGAACCTAAAAGGCTGCTACCCTGAACAGGAGATGGGCTGCCTTCGGGGTGCCCCCTTTCAGCTCTCCGATGGCCGCCTGGGTGAGAGCAGTGAGTGGCGAGGCAGCTTCGCTCCGAGGACGGGCTGGAGGGTTTAGGGTTGAGGGTTTAGGGCTTAAAGGGTTTAGGTTTAGGGTTTATAGGGTTTAGGGTTTATAGGGTTCAGGGTTTAGGGTTTAGGGGGAGTTTAAGAAAAACCCAGGTTCCCCGAAAGGACGCTTTTGCACTTGTTATTTTTTAGGGTGTCCTTGTTAAACTGGATAGGTAGGAAAAAGGGTACCCTTACTATTTCGGGGACACTGCGGAACCTAGTATAGGATTCAGGGTTTTAAGGGCTTAGGGCCTAGGGTAGTGGAAGTCTAGGTTTGGGTGCAGGTTTTCAGGTTTAAAGGTTCGGGGGTTGGCTTGGCACTAGCTCGAACCTTTTTTGCAAACCTGGGATCTGAAAGCTTTCTGGGTGCAATGCTAGACATCAACCTTGGCATGGATTTCGGGATTGAAGGTAATATAGGGGCCTCAATAATTAGAATAGGGTTTGGGGTATCTTATACTATAATTATAATAAGGAACCCCCAAAACCCTATTCTAATTATTAAGGCCCCTACATTATCCAGAGAGCCAGATCGTCGCCTCACTGCTGTTCGCTAGATTCTCTAGTTTAGGGTCTGTATTAGAGACTCTCAAGCCAAACCCTAAAGTCCCTTTACTGCAATCTCCCTTGTCAGGGCAGCCTGATCGATCTGGAAAGTGTATCCAACATTGCCAAAGCAACACGCAGCTCGGGGAAGCAATCCGAGCACTTCCGTCTCACTCGCTACGTTCATGGTCTGGTCACCCTCTTGCTCCGGCCCTTCAACTCAACCGCTAGGCCTTATAAGCTCTAAACCCTAGACACAAGTTCAAACCGCGCAAACGAAGCATGAAGCTTCGGAGACGACGAGTCGCTTTCTCTCGCTTGACAGGGCCACGGAGATTGTGGCAGATGGCGCTACAGACCGCGAGTGGCGCGACCAGCTGTGAGGCTTTTTCTGTGCAGAGCTGGCTCCTGTCCGGCAAAGCTGGGATGTATAGTAGCAATAGTAGTAATAGTAAGAATAGTATTTCTTATAGTAGTAATAGTACTAGCAATAGCTAGATTAAAGATAGAGTAAGAAGTTCAGATTCGGTCCTTGTGTCGCGGAGTTGTCGGTAACCATACAGGGTATATATGTCGGCCTGGTGGCGTCTTCCAGTGATGTTATCTGTGTTTTAGACTTTCACTGTTTCGGGTCTACGCTGGCACAGTCGTTCAGAGCTGTTGTAAACCGGGGCTGAATCCTGCAGGTTTAGGATTTTCGGTTGCATCTATACAGTGTGAGGATCTAAGTTTGCGCAATGTGTGGAGCATTTGGAACGAGGTATATGATCGCTATGATTTCAACAATCCCAGCTTCAGCTGCAGTCCCTGCAGTTTTCATATCACTTACATGCGGGACGAACCTGCATAAGTTGCGCATCGCACGCGCTTTTCATCCGTCTAGTGTCTATTGTCCGGCGCAGGCTCAGCTGCCTCGTGTTGTCTGACATAGCCTGCTCTGGAGTCCCAATGGTCCATGTGGGTAGTTCTCTGACTCAGGGTCCCTTATAGCAGGGCACCCCTAGATGGAAAGGGCACCAAAGAGGGACCCTAATGTAGAGAACTACCCATGTCATGTTCACGTCCTGAAGGGTCGAAGCCTAAGACATGGGGTCGAACTGCTCATTTTTTCCATAGCTGTCACAGAGGCTGCTGTGAGCGGCATCTAGGCACGCAAGCTCAACAGCCCAAACGGCGGATCCCACAAGGAGACGCATGGCCATTTGTACGCTCAGAAGGAGACTGTAGGATCCCGGTGTCTCAGCGTCAGTCATCCTAAGACTACGGCTCCCGCAGCTGTGACCTTCCAGAGATCAGGCATATGGTGGGGCCCACGGCGTTGGACTTTTAATCCTTGCTGGAGCCGAAGGGCTGAAATGAAGAAGATCTGTCGCCCAATAGCAAAAGTTCTTCCAGCATGTGCTTCTAACTCCCACAAGGCCCCCCTACCCCCCCCCCCCGCCTTGGGTGATGTCCTGCAATGCTGACTGCGAGGCCACCTTGTGTGCAACGAAGAGCCTCGTCGACATCATTTCTAAGCTGCCTCGTTGGTTGAAAAATGTTGATCATAGAACCCAGATAGTCAATCATGTTGAGGGCTGTTGGGCAAAGTGGCCGTCGGATGCCCACATAAGCCTGCACCTTGAACCCCGCCCATAATTTTTTCTCGGGCACGAGCGCTGAGAGCAGCACCTCAACAGAACACGCGATGGGTTGCAGTTACATATGCAGTTGCCGAATCGGTGTGCGGATGAGTCCAGCAAATTTACAGTAATTAGTAATTAAAATCAAAACACAGGCAATTTGAGATTCTGTCTTACTCATGTTCCTGAACCAGGAAGATTCATAGGCCCACACACCAGCACGCCAATATCTTTACACAAACATGGTGTGTGTGTGTATATATGTATATGTATATGTATATGTATATGTATATGTATATGTATATGTATATGTATATACGTGTGGTATACGGTATAAGATACAATCTAACAGAATATGTAATCATTAATCTATCATGTCAGTGGAGGAATACGTAGTTTGACCAGTGCTCAATCATCTCTGATTGCAATCTACTCCAGCACCAGCACCGAACACAAAGCAGCACCCAGGACAACATGCGGATGCCGTGATTGCTTCATCCCTTTAAAGCTACCTGCCGAGCCATGAGCGCCTTCAGACCAGGAGATATGCTCCGACTCATCGGTCTGACTAAAAAACCACAGCTGAATCAGTCAGTGGTGAGATACATTTCATGTGTTGACGACAGATGTATAGTGCTCTTGGCAAACGGGACGCATGTAAGGGTTCGACCAGAAAATCTTGTTCTGGAGCAGCCAGGTGATGGTCAACAGGTTGGCAGGCCATTGTTGCAGATGCCGCGGTTTGGCCATCCCTGGCAAGGAAGTGCGCCAGAGCAGCGGGAAAAGAGGCGGGAGGAGATGGCAGAGGATTTCGTTCACGAGATGGGGGAGCCTCTCTCTCCCGCAAGGGAGCGCTTGTTTGCAAGATGGCAGCCAGGCCAGTCCCAAAGGTACCACGATGCGTATGAGGCGTGGCTGAAGTCAGGGGAGTTTGAGGTTGAGTTTAAACGAGATGGCAATGTTTATTACCACCCAGAGCTGGTGATCGGCCGGGGCGCACATGCAACAGTTTTCCTTGGCATTGTTCCCTCGGATGGGCGGGAGGTTGCTGTCAAAGTGCACTCCGACTCCCAAGGCAATGGCGGCGACCATTTTGTGAAAGAAGTGCAAGCCATGAAAAAGAACGCTGCAGTCCCTGGTGTTATTCAATACATAACCTCGTTCGAGAAGGAGAGGATCTTTGAAGAGCAGGGCCGCAGGAAGAGAAGGAGGGAAGAACGACTTCAAGTCGTGATCCTCGAGCTGATGGAGGGAACGCTGCAGCAGGCCATGTCAAGATGGGGAGACCTTGTCGCGGGCGAGCACATTGATACAATCTGCTATGTTTCGCGCAGTCTCCTGGATATCGTGAAGCAATTGAACCCCAACATAATTCATCGCGACATCAAGCCTGACAACATCATGATCGATTGCAGGGGCAACATCAAACTTTCAGATTTTGGAATCTCGCGGATGTTGACAGCTGGTCAAGATCGGTTGTACACTTCCGCTGAGGGCTCCAGCCTGCCTTTTACACCCCCAGAAGCTCTAAGATCAAAGCTACACAAGACAAGTGACCTGTATTCGGTTGGCAGGGTTATGCTGGCCATGATGCTCTCAGATGCAACCATGAGGCGAATGGGGGATTCCTCACTGGAGGTCCTGGTACTTGTGAGCTGGCCTGCGCATAGTCGATATGCTTTCATCCAGCTTGTGCGTGCACTCACACATCAAGACGAAGAGGACAGGGCGTATCTGGACAGGCTGAAGGACCCGACATTTTTGTACGAAGTGATACAGTCCCATCCATTCTTTTGGAGTCAAAGACGCAACCTGAGTTTCTTGACATCTTTGGGCAATTACTACAGCAACTGTCAAAGCCGACCGCCCGAGTGGGACAGGGTTGTGTGGGCGCTGGAGAAGGCTATAGCAAACGCCTGTGAGAAACAAGGCATGAATCGAGACGGCTGGAAGGCAATTGCCTGTGATTTGGAACAGGATGAATCCCGACGACGCAAGATTGAGGGAGCAAAATGGAACGCCGAGCTGCTCAGGTTCTTTCGCAACAAGGTTCTCCACGAGCCGGAACTCGGTCCTGGCCTTCTTCAGCGCCTCCCAGCAATTTCGGTGTTTTGCTGGGAGGCCCTTCTGTGCGAGCTCACAACGAAGGGCTTCCCTTTTCACGAATTTTTCGGCGTCTCCGAAGCTTGTGAGCTATGAATATGAACTGGCACGATCAGGTGAGAGAGCGGCAAAAAGCTTACGATTCTAGATTTTTTGATACAATCCTTCTATAATTATAAGTCCCTGGCACATTATTTTCCGGTTTCTTTGGTCTAAGAGATATTCCACTCTCTCATATATTATATCGCAAATTTTCTTGAAGCTTCTAGGGCCGGAGCCATTTCTCTAGGATTTTCTTTCCAATATATAGAGTGTTCGGGAAAGGGTGTTGTCGTTGAACCAGCTGAATTATTAGATATTAAAGTATTTGTGATAATATGATTTTTATAGAAATGAAAATGAAGATATTTCTTAGGTTTGTGAATTTAGTAACCTTAGAGAAAATTTCTGAGAATTGTCTTCGGTATTAAGTTGACTTAAAATTTTCGTCTGGAAATTTTCGGATATAAGATATAGAATATCGATATCGCGTTATTATCTCTTCTATTCTCTCGTTCGATAAATTCGCGACGCCGAATTTAAAAAAAAAATACAAAAATGTTATTATTGTAACTTTTAGGTGTGACGCGTAACCCTTGGCGTGGTCGAGCGTACGAACGCGAGGTAAAATTATATTTTTCGGGGTTCCCGCAAGGTTCCCTACACATGTCGATATCTTCGAAATTTTTGTTGCTACCTTGACGTACGGTTTAGGGTTCTAGGGTCCATGGTTTAGGCCTTGGGGTTTAGGACTGAGGGTAGTAATTTTAGAAACTTAAAGGAATTGTTGGATTTTGTGGCAATCGTAATAGTATTCTGTCGTTGTATTTGTCGTTGGTAATCTGTAGCTTGTTGTCTTTCGGTCATTTTTGTCGACTTAATTTTTATTCGTTATATCGTTTGTCTTCTTTTTATTTGTCTGATATGATTTGGCGGGAGGTCTTATCTATTATAGCTCTTATGAGATGGTTTTTATTCGGACATCTATATATTTTTTTTATTGATGCAAGAATTATAAAGAAAAGAAGAAATTAGATCGATATTATTTAGAAGGCCGACGAATATTTTAGGTAATCTTATTTTATTAATAATAAATTTTGTTTTTTGATGTTACATAGTATATTAATATAAGCAAATATCTTAAGAATTAAATGCGAACTCTTCTTAATAATATTCAGAATTTATCAAGAATTCGATCTCTTATCTTTTAATTCTATAGATTTAAAATGATTCTAAATTTTTAAATATCTCATAAAATAGATTCTTATATCGCTCTTTTTTCTCTTTTATTTTTTTTCGCGAAATGGCTAATATTAAAACGAGAATCGTCTAGCTAGCCAACCTCGATCATGTTCATGTTTATCGATTAAATAAAATCTTAAAGGAATGAAAAAAATGAATATAATTCTCAAAATATTATGATAATAAAAATGAAATATATAAAGAATGAGGTCGCGACATATTATCAAAAAAAATTCAGATAAAAAATCCAAATAAGAACAAAATTTCTATGATTTATATGAATTAAGAAGATAAAATCATAATAGATAGATGACGATAGAAGAATGAATAAGAATTCATATTCTTGTCGCAGATCCGAGATCAATAGACAGAGAAGATCAATTTAGATTCAGATTGAAAATAATTTAAAGATATGAATCTGATAATTATTGTTCTTAATATATATTGGATTTTATCTATATAATTAATATCTTAGTGAAATTCATTTTAATTTGATTTTTAAGATTTCGGATCTTTTATAGATATCGATTTATTTGATCAAATTAGTTTCTTCGTAAGAAATTAAATAATTGATTGATCTTTCGTTGAATAAGAGATAAATTAATTTTAAAGAAATATTTCACGAATTCGGAATTATTCATGGTCTTATATATCAATATATTTTGAACTATGATCTTTATCTTGTAGAAATAGAAATATCGAATAGAAGATCATTAATATCATATTACTCCCTACGAATTCCTATTATTATCTATAAATAAATTCATATAACTCATAATCTAAAATATAATTATTCAATTTCT